CATTTTCTTTGCATGATAAAGCCAAGAGTTGGCTTCAATCTTTTCTTGCAGGCCATTTTACCATATGGAATGTTTTGGTAGATAAATTCATAGCTAAATTTTTTCCTCCTTCGAAAACAGCTAAGTTGAGAAATGATATTACTACTTTTGTTCAATTTGATAATGAGTCATTATATGAGGCATGGGAAAGATTTAAAGTATTGCTTAGGCAATGTCCAAATCATGGTTTACCTGTTTGGCTCCAAATGCAAACTTTTTATAATGGTATGACTCATCCTAATCGTTCTATAATTGATGCAGCTGCAGAGGGTAATCTTATGAATAAGACAGAGGAGGATGGTTATAAGCTGTTAGATGAAATGGCCTCTAATAGCTATCAATGGACTAATGACAGAGCTACCAAAAAGGGAGTTGGTTTACATAATGTTGATGCTTTTACTTCTTTATCTGCTCAAATTTTTGCTTTGAATAAAAAGTTAGATAATTTAGGAGCATCAGCAATGAGTATTTCATCTAATAGTTGCTGTGAATTGTGTGGGCAATTTGGTCATGCTAGTGTTGAATGTCAAGTAGGCAATTCAGTTCAATCTTCTAATGAGCAAGCTAATTTTGTTTCTTCTGGTGGTAGGTCTAATTTTAATCCATACTCCAACACCTACAATCCAGGATGGAGGAGCCATCCTAATTTTTCATGGAGTAATAATCAAGTCAGAATACCATCAGGTTTTCAGCAACAAAATAAACAAGAAAAGAAGACAAATTTGGAGGAGTTGGTGCACAAATTTGTTAGTAGTACAGAAGCACGGTTTCAAAATCAAGAAATAAGGTTTCAAAATCAAGATGCTGCTATTCGGAACATAGAAACGCAACTTGGACAGATTGCTGATATGGTTTTTGGAAGAGTTCAAGGGGGTTTGCCAAGCAATAGTGAAAAGAATCCAAGGGAGCAATTAAAGGCTATCACTTTGAGGAGTGGGAAAGAACTTAAAGAGGTAGGACAATCTAATGGGAAAGAAGAAGGTGTGGAAGCTGGTGAATCAAAGCAAGAGGAGGAGCCTAAAAGACTCTTTCATGATCCGAATGTCAAGCCTTATAAGCCAAAAATCCCTTTTCCTCAAAGATTTTTGCAAGCTAATTTAGACAAGCAGTTTTCTAAATTTTTAGAGGTGTTTAAAAAGTTACATATTAATATTCCTCTTATTGATGCTATTTCGCAGATGCCAAGCTATGCAAAATTTTTGAAGGAGATCCTTGTCAATAAAAGGAAGTTAGAGGAGTTCGAGATGGTGAAGTTAAATGAAGAATGTTCTGTTATTCTTCAGAATAAGTTACCTCCTAAGTTGAAGGATCCAGGGAGTTTTTCTATTCCTTGTATTATTGGTAATGTTAATTTTGATAAGGCTTTGTGTGATTTGGGTGCTAGCATTAATTTGATGCATTTTCATGTATTTAGGAAACTTGGATTAGGAGAACCTTCACCTACCACAGTTTCTCTTCAATTGGCGGATAGAAGCATAAAATATCCAAGAGGAGTGGTAGAGAATGTTTTGGTAAAAGTTGACAAATTTATTTTTCCTGTTGATTTTATTGTTCTTGACATGGAAGAGGATTTTGAAAGGCCTTTAATTCTTGGTAGACCATTCCTTGCTACTGGTAGAGCTCTTATTGATGTTTAACAAGGGAAACTTAGTCTTAGAATACATGACGAGGAGATTGTTTTTAATGTGTTTGATGCTATGAAAAATTGTGATCATGATGGCAGTGCTGTTTTAAGGATTGATGTGGTAGACAATGTAGTGGCTGAAAATTTTAATGCTTCTAGATTAGATGATCCTATTGATAATTGCATTGTTAATGCTTTGGATGTGAAAGTTGATAGTGTAGACAATAACATTTTGGAGGCAGCAGCTATTCTTGGGGAAAAATGCCATAGGCAGCCACAAAAAGGAGGGAATTTTCTACCCTTAGATGCACCGTCCACTGTGACAGCCAAGTCATCCAAAGAGGAGCCCCCTACTCTTGAATTAAAACCTCTTCCTTCTCAATTAAAGTATGTTTATTTGGGTGATTCAAATACCTTACCTGTTATAATTTCTGCTTCTTTGACAGGAATAGAGGAGAAGAAACTCTTAAGGGTGTTGCGAGAACACAAAGGAGCTATAGGATGGAGCATAGCGGATATCAAAGGAGTTAGCCCTTCGGTTTGCATGCATAAAATTCTGTTGGAGGAGGGGCACAAGTCGATTGTTCAGCCTCAAAGACGCCTTAATCCTAACATGCAAGAGGTGGTCAAAAAGGAGGTAATCAAATGGTTGGATGCAGGTATTATTTTTCCTATTTCTGATAGTACTTGGGTGAGTCCTGTGCAAATTGTGCCTAAAAAGGGTGGGACAACTATGGTAAAAAATGAAAATGATGAATTAATTCCCACTAGAATAATAACAGGGTGGAGAGTATGCATAGATTATAGGAAACTTAACGAAGCTACTAGAAAATACCATTATCCACTACCATTTATTGATCAAATGATTGAGAAACTTGCTGGACATGAATATTATTGTTTTTTGGATGGTTATTCTGGTTATCATCAAATTCCTATTGCTCCTGAGGATCAAGAGAAAACAACATTTACTTGCCCATATGGTACTTTTGCTTTTAGACGAATGCCTTTTGGTTTGTGCAACACTCCAGGTACGTTCCAAAGATGTGTGATGGCTTTATTTGCTGAATTTGTTGATGAGTTCATGGAAATTTTTATGGATGATTTTTCAGTTTTTGGCTCTTCATTTGATGGATGCTTACATAATCTGTCTAGGGTGCTTAAAAGATGTGAGGAAACT